GAAGGCGAGCGTTCGCGCCCCCTCTCCCAATTGTCCTCTTTTACCAGCTGAGCTAGTGGTGCTAGCCTCTCTGAATATCTTGGGCATAGCTGGGTAAGGAGCATGGACGGCTCTCACTGCTGTACAGTCTGTGGAGCCATGCTCCAGATAGATGACGGTCACGACCTGTGTCCTGCCTGCCTTGGACATGACCATCTGGTGGATGCCCTGTCAGAGAACCCCTGCATGAATTGCAGCTTCATGTCGCATGCTGTGAGGGTGGCCCGGCTGGCCCAGTTTCGCCCCAAACTCGGCGATGACCTCCCGCCTTCTGGGCAGGAGGCTCCACCTAGGCGCTCGAAGCGCCGGACTGAGGCCGCAGTCTCTGTGGCCCCTCCTGGGAAGAAGCGAGCCAGGTCTGATAGGGGCCTCTCCACAAGGGTGGAGCAGCTCTCCGCTGAATTAGCGGAGATGAAGTCCCTTTTTCAGGTACACCAACTGGGAACTGAACCAGTGGCAGCAACTGGACTCTCCTCCCCACCCATGCCTGAACTGGCTGTGGAGGAAGATGTGCTATCCTTGGCTGCCTCTGCCTCTCACTTTTTAGGTGAGGAGGACGTGCATTCATCTCGAGTCTCAGAGACAGCTTCACTCTCTTCTTCTCGGAGTGCAGTTAGTGGGTCGGGTGACGGCTCGATGCAGGACATCATGCGTATGGCCCTGAGACAACTGCAGCTGGACGTCCCGCAACCAGAGGCGTCCACCCCTGGAAGTGCCTTCTTCAGGCGCGGACTGACCCCTCCTTCCTTTTCTGTCCCTCCATCAGAGGAGTTCCTGAGGGAGTTGCATGGTTGCTGGCGGGACCCCAAGGCCTTTGCGCGCCTCTCTGCAGATGGCAGAGTGTTGGCGGCCATGCATGAGCCGGCTGCAGCAGGCTTGGATCGCATGCCAGCGATAGAACCTGCTGTTGCCTCTCTCATCGTGTCACCAGATGAAGCTCTGCGCAGTCATGTTCGGTGCCCACGAGCTCAGTGTCGTGTCACGGATGAATTCCTCTGCAGAGTCTATGCCGCCGGAGCGCGTGCTGGCCGCCTAGGTAATTCCTTGGCACACCTAATGCTTGCCCTCTCCGTGTCCCTTCAAGGGACTAGTGGTGCGACAGCAGCGATGGGCTTTAACGATGCAGCGCTTCAGGCCTTTGCACTAATGACGAGGGAGCTTGGGCGTGTGATGTCCTCCTTGGTCCAAGCTCGCCGACAGGTCTGGTTAGCGCAGTCAGCATTGACTGAGCCATGCCGTAGAGCCCTCCGTAATGTCCCAGTGGTGCCGGGGGAGTTGTTCGGTTCGGCTGCCTTGGAAGCGCTGGAACGGACTGTCCAGGCACGACAGAGAATGCAGCAATTTTCGAGCCTTAGCAGGCCAATGCCCCCTCCACCTCCTCGGCATCCAAGGCGCCTGTCGGCTGGCTCCAGCATGCAGCCGCCGCCTGGGGGTCATAACCGGCTGGGTGGTCCTTACCCTCATGCGGTTCAGCAAAGGCCCAGCAGGAGCTTTCGTGGGTTGGTCCACCGACCAGCTGGGCAGGCTCGGACCAGGGACTCTGGCTGCCGCCCCCCCACGGCCCCTAGGGGTCGTGGAGGGAGACGGTGATGCCATCAGGCCGACCGTCAGATATTTCTCCCACCAGCAGCTCAGCTATTGGGTTGCTCACGCCGTGGACCCATGGGTGGTTGCCACTCTGACCCATGGTTACCGGCTACAGTTCCGACGGCGGCCTCGTATCTCAGGCCGGGTCAAGATGACTGTAATCGCCGACCCGGTGAAAGCTCAAGCACTAGACCAGGAACTTTCCGCCCTCCTGGCCAAGGGCGCAATAGAGGCAGTGGACCCTCTGCAACAACCCAGGGGCTATTACTCGACTTACTTCCTTGTGCAAAAGAGGACGGGCGGGTTTCGTCCCATTTTAGACCTGAGGGGACTCAACCAGTACCTAAAGGAGCTGCCCTTCCACATGCTCACAACAGCAGAAGTCCTTCAAGCTGTCACGAGGGAAGAATGGTTCACGTCTGTAGACCTGAAGGATGCATATTTTCATGTGCCTATTGCGGCAGAACATCGCCGCTTTCTCAGGTTTGCCTATCGGGGTCACCACTGGCAGTTCCGGGTACTTCCATTCGGGCTCTCTCTCTCCCCAAGGGTGTTCACTCGGTGCGTGAAGGCAGCCCTCTCTCCTCTGCAGGCCTGCGGAGTGAAGATTCTGCCGTACTTAGACGATTGGCTTCTCTGCGCCCCGTCTCAGGCCTGTGCCTTTCACGACACAAACCGCCTGCTCGCTCATATGTCCCAGTTGGGCCTCAATGTCAACCTGGAGAAGAGCTGCCTGATCCCTTCCCAGACGACCACCTTTCTTGGGGTGGTTCTGGATTCATCTTCAATGAGAGCTCGCCCATCCGCTCAAAGGGTGGCCGGCATACTCCAGCTGGTCAATCGGTTCAGGCTGGGCAAGCAGCTCCCCTATGTTGCCTTCCTGCAACTACTCGGCAAGCTGACATCAGTCACTCGGGTGGTGCCCTTAGGCCTGCTGTCACTTCGCCCCTTGCAGAGGTGGCTCAACAGCTTTCGCCTGGATGCCAGGCTGCACAGGCATCGCAAGCTCGCAGTGACGTGGTCATGTCTTCGTGCCTTGACTCCATGGAGGGACGAAGATTATTTGTCCAGGGGTGTCCCCATGGGAGTGGTAGTGTGTCGCAGGGAAGTGGTCACGACAGATGCCAGCTCCATGGGATGGGGGGCTGTATGGAAACGCAGAGCGGTTCAGGGCCGCTGGGGTCAAAGAGACCATTCCAAGCATATAAATGTGCTGGAGCTGCGTGCAGTGCACTTGGCACTCAGGCACTTCCTGCCTCACCTGGAAGGGAGGCATGTACTTGTTCGGTCAGACAACACCTCTGTTGTCTACCACATCAACCATCAGGGGGGCACCAGGTCAGCACAACTTCTGAGTGTGTCCAGAGAGCTCCTGGAATGGGCCTCTCCTCGCCTGTCCACCCTGCGGGCAGCGTACTTGCCAGGGCGACACAATCAGGTCGCAGATTTTCTCTCCCGCCAAGAGTCCCCTCCGGGAGAGTGGTCCCTCCACAGAGACATAGTGCTGATGATCTGGGACCGTTTTGGTCAGGCAGAGATAGACCTGTTTGCGACGGAAGAGTCGACTCAGTGTCCCCTATGGTACTCTCTTACGGGGGCGTCGGGTGCGCTAGGCCAGGACGCATTGGCTCATCCTTGGCCAAGGGTCCTTCTATATGCCTTTCCACCCCTTTCTCTAATTTGGCCAACCCTTCAGAGAGTCCTCGAGGAGGGCCACAGGATGCTGCTGGTGGTTCCGTATTGGCCAGCGCGACCATGGTTCCCACTGCTACGAAGTCTATGTCAGGGCGTTCCATGGTGTCTTCTGACCAGAAGGGACTTGCTGTCTCAGTTGGGGGGACTGATATGGCACCCCAATCCTCAACGTCTTTGGCTGTGGGTGTGGCCACTGCAAGGCTAGGACAGCAGCTGACTGGAGTTTCGAGCCCCGTCAGGCGCACCATCCTGGGCGCCAGGGCACCCTCTACTCGTCAGCAGTACGAAAACAGGTGGCGCCTGTTTTCCCAATGGTGTTCGGATCACAACAAGGATCCAGTCTCCTGTACGATACCCACCATTCTGGAGTTTCTCCAGTCTCTACTTGGTAAGGGTCGCTGTCCTTCGACGCTTAAAGTTTATGTAGCGGCAATATCATCTAATCACGCTGGCATTGATGGCTGTACGGTAGGGAGCCATAATCTAGTCTCTCTTTTTCTGCGTGGTGCCCGTAGGTCACACCCACCGACAGCTCCACGAGCACCAGGTTGGGACCTTCCCTTGGTTCTCGAAGCTCTGTGCCGTCCTCCTTTCGAGCCTCTGTCGCAGGCGGACCTCAAGTGGCTTTCATGTAAGACGGCTTTTTTGTTGGCTATTACCTCAGCAAAGAGGGTCAGCGAGCTACATGCTCTCTCAATCAGCCCCTCATGTCTCAGGTGGGGCCCTGAGGGCTCGTGTGTTACCTTGTGGCCAAATATTGCATTCGTACCAAAGGTGTTATCTCGCTCTCACTCTAACCAACCGTTGAGGCTGGCACGTTTTCAGCCTGCGCCTAGTGAGGGGTCTGCATTATTGTGCCCGGTAAGGGCACTGGAGGCATACGTTGCAGCTACTGCCGTGATAAGACATTCAGACCAGCTGTTTGTGTGTTATGGAGGCCCTAGGTTAGGCTGTCCTCTTTCCAAACAGCGCCTCTCCCACTGGATCGTGGACGTCATCTGCCACGCCTATGCTGCAGGGCCCGGCTCCCTGCCGGTCGGCTTGAAGGCTCACTCTACCAGGAGCGTCTCCGCTTCCTGGGCTGCCCTGAGAGGGGTTCCACTGGAAGCAATATGTGCTGCTGCATCATGGGCTTCCCCAAGCACGTTCACCAGATTTTATAGAGTTAACGTGGCCACCCCTCATCCCCTGGGCCAGGTTCTTCTACAAGGGTCCTCTGGGCCTCCTCAGTGAGGTAGGTGTTAGGATTCCTTGTGACATCGTTGATATTAGTCATTCAGTGCTTTCAGCACCGCCCTCTGGCGGTCAGGAGGGATGAAATAGAACGAAAGTTACGTATGTAACTACGGTTCTATGAATCCCGGATGACCGCCAGAGCTTCTCCGTCACTCAGAATCCTTGCGTTTCGCGAGAAGATTCTGTAGGAGCAGAGCAGCGGATGACGTCGGGCTATATAGCCTCTGATTGGTCATCCGTGTCACACCTGTGACTCCGTTGGTATTATTACTCGAATCAGCGCATGCGCGAAGGGAACATTCAGTGCTTTCAGCACCGCCCTCTGGCGGTCATCCGGGATACATAGAACCGTAGTTACATACGTAACTTTCGTTTTATACCTGGATTATTGAGCATGGACTTTGTTGGTTTTGAACCAGTTTGACATGAGCGTCGACGAGGGAGAGGGCGGGCACCGGAGGAGAGGTCATGCCCCACAGGCCATCTTAGCACCAACAACTGTTTTTTCCCCACTTTGGAGTAAGCTGTAGGGGGAGAAGAGTTTTGTTTGGCGTTTCATCAGACTGATGAAGCCTTCTAGATGGAGGGCAAAACGTCTCGGCACAAAAAAGAAACCATCCAGAAGACCTGACTGAACATTGTTGGATTTTATACCTGGGTTATTGAGCATGGACTTTGGGGAACTGAGATATAGATATTTGTATGTTGGCTAATGTGGATTAGCTGTTAGCAGCCACGTTGAAGTACATCAACTCAATAATGCTAAAGTTTTAAGCAAAGATCTCACGAGTACCATTTGGAGTTCGTGTTGCGATTGACAGCTTCAACACCAAATTTCATTTTTATATGTGTAAAATGGTGTTTTGTGTTACCTGGATGTAGCCATTTAGCAATTCATGAGATTTCGATCTCACAATTGTGGCCCGACGGGTTGGGTTATGGCCAGAAATTGCAGCTCTCTTGTGAAGTGGTTCCCAAGGTTGGAGTCAGGACTCCACCATGGGTCATAAAAACACGGTGTGGTCTCTTGGGGTGATTTACAAAATCAAATTACAATTTAAAATTAATTGGCAATTGCGTGTGTGGTAACTGTAAAAATAAAAAGCAGAGGTCATAAATGAATATTAAGTTTAGAGGATCAACCTGTTCAGATTAGAATCAGCCTCACCAACCGTTAAGCAGATATCTGTAAAACCGAGTTATGGCTGTTTTGTGTCATCTTTGAAAGGTCAGTTGGCTGTGGCAGCAATCGTTTTTTTTACAACCGAGAGCTGCCGATTAACATCTCGGAAGCTCAAATAATATCTCAGCTACAGCCACAAATCTCATACGAGTTGAAAAGGAGGCGCCATGGATGCATTTCCATCTCCCTGCTGGCTGTGCTCGAGTGCCTGACCGCTGAGATCCTGGAACTAGCAGGAAACACGGTTCGTGACAGAAGGACTGGGATCGTCCACAGACACCTGCAGCCAGCTGTTCGCAGCAAAAAGGAGCTCGGCAGGCTGCTGGGAGGAGTGGCCATTGCTCTGGGAGTTCTGCCCAGTATTCAGGCGGTCCTGCTGCCTGGAGGAACCAAGAGGCCAGCCGAGTCTGGGTGGACGGATCGGATGGCATCTGCAGCCAGTTTTTTCAGATCCACTGTGGGATGGACCTTTACAAGAGATCCCTCCTGCCATCAGCATCTACAACATCTCTTAATGAAACAAGGATAACGAGTTACAACATTTAATTTCTCTTTGGGAATAATAAAGTATTTTTGAATTTGAATTAAACTGGGTTGACTCCAAAAGTGAAGCAGTTGTAGATGAACCTCCATTTTCATTAGTTCTTCCAGTGGTTCACAAGATACTTCAGTAACGGTTTCATTTCAGTTTTGTTTTTTTTATTCAAACAATGATCACTTTACAGCGGACACATCATCATGTTCTCAATATACAGAATTACATCGTACTAAATACACACGGGGAACATGTGGAGTAATGTTTTAATGAGCCCAAATGCTTCTCACACCGTTCCCCTTTCCTTACAGGAAGATATTTTACAACCTGCTCAAAAAGTGACCAGGCTGCAGAGTCCAAAGTGAGTGCTTGTAAACCTTGTTCCATGTTGCCGTCTTTGATTTTAATGCTCCGGTTTATTTTTCTCCACACAACACTCCAAACTGTTACCGATGGCCCCACAGACGGCCCAAACCTGCAGCTACCACAACGAGCGCCTCAAACATGGACCATCAAAGAGAAAATCCCCTCCTGCTCCATAAAAGTGGTGTCAAAGGTTATTAAAGTGTTCAGAACCAATCTGAACTCTAGGCATTCACATTTCTATTGCAATCTCCCAATGTGGCAAACCGTACGACTGTTTGCTTCAACGTACAACTCACTGTCCCCAGCCTCAAAGAATGTGGCAATTCACAGGTTTTCAACTGGAAACGGGAAGGCAAGTAAAAAAAAAAAGATAAAAATGTGTATAAATACAGGCAGGAGCAGAGTCTGCAGCACTGGTCAGTCACTATCAAAACAGTTTATAAATAAGTTACAGCATATCAAGATCTGTGTTAGTTTTTGTTCTCGTGGTGCTCGCAGAGTTCAAGTTGAAGCGTCGTCCTCGATGGGACGCTCGTTCATGTGTACTCAGATTTGCGGATGTAGTTGGAAGGCACGTATCCCCGCCTGCCTCCGTCGGCCTCTCCCAACCACCACTCGTTGTTGCCGTTCATGTCCTGGAACTCCAGGATCCGCAGACGCTCGTTGGCAGAGATGCTCATTTCGTTGGCGCATCGGGCCTCGAAAGAGTACAGAGCGTAATAAATCTGAAAAGAAAAACACTTATTTAAATTGTTTAGCACTGAAAGACAAATTAAATGGCCTAGGATTCTTTGAAATAATGCATATCGACCGCCACCTTTCATGTCAAGAGTATTAGAGTAAGAGCTGTTGCAACTTTGGCCAAAAATTCTAAATAATGTTTGGCCTTAAACTCATGAGACACTGAGACGCTCAGAGTGTGTGTTAATGACGCTCAACTACAAACATCAAATTTATTGTGTGAATGTTTATGAAGCATTCACTCGATTGTGATCCCATTTTTCTTCCGTACATTTTTCAGCATCTTTCTTGTTCCACATTTTTTGTGCCATTTCAACAAATCATGAATCAAAACGTTCAGCTCTTTCAGGACAATCCTACTATGACTTTTGGTGTTGGTGCAACTTTAGCTTTTTGAAATGTTTAGCCTTTTCTGCCATCTTTTCCCCTCATACAAATTGTATTGAGCTCATTTGACACATCCTTCAGATCTTTACATCTGTTTACAACCTTTTACTGCTCCTTTCGCATTTTGTTCTGCTTCAGCTTCTTTCAGCTTTCTTGTGAAAATTTAAACTTTTTCAGCTACTATCAGCTAAATTCTGCTGTTTTGTGCTCCTTTCAGATTAATTTTGACACCTACATTTTTTTTTGCTTCTTCTAACTTCTTTCTGCTCCTGTCAGCTTATTTCTGCAAGTTAGTTTTTCTACTATTATGCTAATTTAAGCTTTTCCAGCTAATTCCACAATTTTTGAACTCATTTAAACTTTTTCAGCCTAATTCAGCAATGTGCTCTCTCCATTTCTTATAATTGTCTTTCTGCTTTTTAGCTACTTTTCAGATAATTTCCACTTTTTTGTGCTCATTTCTGCTTCTTTCAGCAAACGTTTCTTCTTTCTTCTGCTTGTTTTTACCTTGTTAGCTACCCTTTTTTAAGCATTTTTGATCTAATTTCAGCCGTTTTCAGATAAAATTAACTTTTTCATGGTAATTTCTGCTACTTTCAACCTCATTAACTTCTTTCTGCTAATTTCAGCTTGTTATGCTCCTTTCAGCCTTTTCTGCTAATTTCTATTTTTTCTGCTATTTCAGCTACTTTTCAGGCATTTTTTTGCTAATTTCAGGTCTTTTCAGCTAATTTGCTATTTTTGTGCCAATGTCTGCTGTTTAAACCTAATTCAGCAAATATGTGTTCTTTCTGCTTTTTTCTGCTAAATTTGGCTTGTTCTTCCATTTCAGCTACATTTCAGCATGTTTTTAGCTAATTTCAGCTGTTTTTCAGTAAGTTCTTCAGCAATAAGCATTCACACTGAATTTTCACAGGAAATGCAATTTCTCTAATTTCCATTTAATTTAATTCAAAGCTCTATCTATAAAACTGACAAAGCTATCTTCATTTTCGTTTTGACTTGAATCCTTTGCAGCGATGTGAAAAGCCTCACCTGTTGGCAGTTCAGTTCGCTCTCTGGTTCCGGCTCGCTGCGCTCCTCTCGGGTGGAAGCAGACTTCTTCTGGCTGCTCCCGTCTCCGTTCCTCCACTGAGGTGAACCGTATCCTCTCTCTGCGTGTCTATTTCTCGAGCGACTGTTTTTCTGTGACAGAGACGAGTCCGTCTCTGAGAAGTCTGACGTCTCTCTGAGTCTGCTGTCGTCCCTGGAATCGTACGAGTCTCTGTGACCGGGGGCATGTCTGTGTGTTGGGTCAGAATATTCTCTGCGGGTGGACTGATTACGGGGCGAGGAGTTTCTGCTCTGATGTGTGGACTCTGGGTTAGGGGTGTCTCTGTGGTGACTCCTGTGAGACGAGGTGGAGTCGAGCCACGGGTGTGGCGAAGGCTGGCTTTGGGTTTGTGATGTAGAAAAGTTGACGGTGGCCGTCTCCTGGTTGAAGGTTAAGGTGCTGTTGCTGTTCTGGCGGGAGAAAACGGGCGAGGAGCCGCCATAACCAGATTCATTGGATGACTGGCTCTCAATGGAGGCGTCCGAGTGGCTCCTGCGGGGGTTGTACAGTTTCAGGAAGGAGCTGTACACAAAACCCTTGGCAACTGCAAAACAGAGTAAACATCAGATTGAGACGCTGCGGTTACTTAATGCCTAGCTAAAATATATTTTAGATTAACAGTAAATAAACTACCTCCATTATCAACCAGCCAGCGGTTTTGGCTCCCCATTGGATCCTGCTGCTTTATCACACCGACAAGATCTCCCTCTTGGATAGAGACATCCTCATCCTGAGCAGCATTAAAGTTCCTCTCAGCCTGGTAAAGTTTCTCAGGTCCATAGTGAACCAGCAGTTCAGCACGATGCTCATCTGTCTGCGCGCTAACGTTGGGCTGAAAAAGGTTTAAAGAAACTTTATTAGATAAGTACTGAAACTGCATTTTGTGTGTGTGTGTATATATATATA